CCATCGAATGTGAGCATTTGCCCACTCAAGTCGGTTACGACGACAAACTGCAGTCAGGTCGAGACCCCGATGAGGACGACGAGCATGCAGATGAGCTTCCCTGAGACCTTTTCTGATAGTTTGTGCAGAAATTATGCAAACCGATTGTTGCAGCAGCTGTCCAGGTGGCTGGTCTCAGACGATCTTGGAGGTGAAGATGCTGGATGTGGAGGTCCTGGGCTGGTGTGGTTACACGTGGTCTGCGGTTGTGAGGCCGGTTGGATGTACTGCCAAATTCTCTGAAACCCCTTTGGAGATGGCTTATGGTAGAGAAATTAACATTCAATTCACGGGCAACAGCTCTGGTGGACATTCCTGCAGTCAGCATGCCAATTGCACACTCCCTCAAAACTTCCGACATCTGTGGCATTGTGCTGTGTGATAAAACTGCACATTTTAGAGTGGCCTTTTATTGTGGCCAGCCTAAGGCACACCTGTGCAGTAATCATGCTGTCTAATCAGCATCTTGATATGCCACACCTGTGAGGTGGATGGATTATCTCGGCAAAGGAGAAGTGCTCACTAACACAGATTTAGACAGATTTGTAAAATGTAAGTGACCTAATATTATTGTATTTTCTTATTGAACTGTTCATAGAACTATTAAACAGTCGTAATGGTGAAAACGTTGTGTGATGTTACCTAACTAATTTTAAATCTAAAAACTTTCCATTTTGTAATTTTCCCCTCAGGATGCTGAGTTTCTTAGTGTTGCACGTTTTGATTTCTCCTGGAGAGGCTGCGTGAGCCTCGCCTCAGCAGCGCAACCTTATACTGTCAATAGATGCATTATATACAGTAGCTATATCCACTATTCGCCACTTACTCTAAATGTAATAAAATCTAAATAATACTTGCGTTTTGGTGTTTACATAGTTATTTTTGGTTACTGATGTTTTAATCATGTTATTTGTCTGGCGTTAATGAAGCGTTAATGTCGAGCCCTGGAGTCTATGTGCCGAGGCTCAGCCCCGGACGGCCCCGGGCCCCGGCCCAATTTAAACCCTGCTTATATCTCACAATTTGGACTTTTTGTCTCAGAATTGCAAGTTTGTAACTCACAATTGAAAGTTATAAACTTTACTACACGCAATTCTGACTTTTCGTCTCAGAACTGTACGTCATAAACTAGAGAAAAAACATCAGAATTATGAGAAATAAACTGAAAATTGCATGAAAGAGTTACCTTATATATCTAGGACATCAACATCCTTCAAATCAAATAACTTCACGTTTCTTTTTCATCAGAAAATTGGCTCGTTCGACTCTTAATGTGCTCAGATGTGTGTGACATGCACGATATTCAGCTCTATTAGTGCATGTGATCGCTCAGGCTCTTTGTTTCCCATAGCGTTCAACAAGGTTACACTAGAAATGAATCAACACTGACCTTGAAGTGAAGCGATCCATCAGCAGCTCATTAATCTGAGCACCTCTCTACTTTAACTTTGCCTTACTAAACCGTATAACTCCTCGTCAACGCAACTATGATCCTGCAAAAAATAATTGCCCTGACAGTCGTCTGCGTGAGAAGTTGCGTCTTTATCGGTTTCATTGCTACAGTTTTATCAAGCACACAAATGATCACAGTTGTGTGAGACTTACTTTCTACCTGTATAAAAAACTACAACCGTCTCCTCTCTCATTAGTCTAAGAACTATATCAATGCTCCAAATGCTCCAGTTATTCTTTGTTTTGCATCAGATCCTATTTTCAAGTAGTTTTGACATTTAACAAGATGTTGTGGAGGTGTATACACACACATGCACACACACACACACACACACACACACACTGTATATTTGTATATTAGAATTATATACAAATAAAACGGTGTATTAGAAATATTAAATATTATTAAATATTTATATTATTTATATTTATAACAAATATGCATGATGTTCATATAAAATAAAAAATATATAATTATACATATTATACATATATATTATTATTATTATTATTATTATATATTTATATTATATACATATTTATAATATTCTGCTAAGATATGTATATATATATATATATATATATATATATATATATATA